CATAATTCACAGGGCATAGAATACACAGGAAGGTTGTGGGGAATAATTAGCCCTGGACTAAGTACCAGTGCAGACCCAATTAACAAATCATAGAAGGAAGACCCTGAAAGATCAAATTGTTTCCAAGTAACTTAACTATCTCAGTACAAAGATCAGGAAGATTTATAGGAATACTAATAATAAAACCCTAGCACCTAAGGTAAAATTCACAATGTCTATTATCCAAACAAAGATGATTAGGCACAAAAAGAAGCAAGAGGTACATACCACAATATGGAATAACCTTGAAAAACGTATGTCAAGTGAAAGGAGCCAGTCACAAAGGACCGCATATTGTATGATCCCATTTATAGACAATGTCCAGAATAGGCAAGTCCATAGAGACAAAGTAGATTAGTAGGTCTGGTGGGGTGGGGGAGGAAGGTAACTGGGGAAAAAAAGGCAATGACTGCTAAGGGGTAGGGGATTGCTTTTTGGGGTGTTGAAAATGTTCTGAAACTGAGTGTGGTAATGGTTGCAGAACTCTGTAAGTATACTAAAAATAAACATTTAACTGTACACTTTATTTTTTTAATGAATTTATTTTATTTTTGGCTGCATTGGGTCTTTGTTGATGTGCACGGGTTTTCTCTAGCTGCAGCGAGCGAGGGCTGCATTTCGTCGTGGTGCGTGGGCTTCTCATTGCGGTGGCTTCTCGTTGTGGAGCATGGGCTCTAGGTGCGTGGGCTTCAGTAGTTGTGGCACGTGGGCTCAGTAGTTGTGGCTCGTGGGCTCTAGAGCTTGGACTCAGTAGTTGTGGCACACGGGCTTAGTTGCTCCATGGCACATGGGATCTTACTGGACCAGGGATCGAACCCATGTCCCCTGCATTGGCAGGCAGATTCTTAACCACTGCGCCATGAGGGAAGTCCTAACTGTACACTTTAAATGGTGTATTGTGTGGCATGTGAACTATATCTCAATAAAAGAGTGTTGGTTTTTTTTAAGCAGGAAAACATGAACCATAATGATCAATCAATGGAAACTAACACAGAATGGACACAGATGTTAGAATTAGGAGACAATGATGCTAAAAAAGTTATTAAAGCTACACTGCATATGTTAAAAAAGTTGAGCAGAGACATGGAATATATATAAGTACCCACAATGAAATCCTAAAGATGAAAAATACACCAGATGGAATTAATGACTAGACATTGCAGAAGAAAAACATCAGTAGTTTAAATCATAGCAGTAGAAACTAAGAAAATGGAACAGAGGAAAAAAGAATCCCCAAAAAATGAAAATAGAAAAAAGCATAAATGAGCTGTGGGACAATTTCATGTGGCCTAATATGCAGGAAATAGAATCCCCAAAGGAGAGGAAGGGGGACAGAAAAAGTACGTGAAGAAGTAAAGTTCTGAAACTTTCCAAAATTAGTGAAGGATATAAACTCACAGATCCAAGAAGTTCAATGAACATCAGCAAAAGGTAGATGAAAAATACTACACAAAGGCACATTGTGGGAATTCCCTGGCCATCAAGTGGTTAGGACTCTGTGCTCTCACTGCCGAGGGCCCGGGTTGGGGAACTAAAATCCCAGAAGCCACGTGCTGTGGCCTAAAAACAAACAAACAAAGGCACATTGTTATAAAACTGCTCCAAACCAATGATACAGAGAAAATCTTTTTTGTTTATTTTTTCTTCCAATTTTATTGAGATATAATCAACTTACAGCACTGTATAAGTTTGAAGTGTACAGCGTAATGACTTGACTTACATACATCATGAAATGATTATCACAATAAGTTTAGTGAACATCCATCATCCCATATAGATACAAAATTAAGGAAATAGAAAAAAAGTTTTTCCTTGTGATCCTCTTAGGATTTACTCTCTTTTATATATAACATACAGCAGTGTTAATTATATTTATCATGTTGTACATTACATTCCTAGTAGTTATTTATCTTATACCTGGAAATTTGTACCTTCTGACTGCCTTCATCCAATTTCCCCTCCTCCACCCTCACCTCTGGTAAACACAAATCTGATCTCTTTTTCTATGAGTTTGTTTTTGAAGTATAATTGGCCTTCAACCTTCCTGGTGCTGTTATAACTTCTGATTATAGAAGTATCACCCCACCTTCACCTCCACAATGAGTGTTTTACCTCACCTTTTCTCCTGGAGCAAATAGGACTTAACATCTTTTTTTTTTTTTTTTAATTTTTGGCCAGGCTGCGCAGCATGCAGGATCTCAGTTCCCTGACCAGAGGTCGAACCCGCACCCCCTGTATTGGAATCGTGGAGTCTTAACCACTGGACCGCCAGGGAAGTCCCTAGGATTTAACATCTTATTTGAATTAAGATGGGTTCCTAAGTCTTTAAATCCTTTTTAGTTTGCTTTTCAAACCAGTGGTCTGGTTATTTACTTAATGCTGTATATTAATAGGACAGTCACCAGAGAATGAAGAATGATGCACATGCCTGTCATACAAAGTTGTCATGAGGAAGGGTGTCAGGATTGAAAAGGACCAAGATCTAATGACTGAGTAACCAGTGGAAGAAATCCAAACTTGGATGAACGTTTAGACATTCCAGATTTGTGGGAATGAGTTGTAAGTATCTATGTCTCAGTAAAAATCTTTCTCAAAACATAAATCTGGAAGTTAAGCATGGCTCTGCTCAGACCCGGTTGGGTCAACTTTAATATTAGAATTGCTCCTTGGAACATTTCACCTTCTTTTGTGGATGTGGCTCAATGAATTAATTTTCTCTAATGCATCCTGGAAAATGGATTGTTTGTAGATTGAGAAATTGGTTAAGTTTTGCTCTGATGTCTTGAAAAGTAGCATACTAATCTCCTTCATTTAACAACTAATTATTGAACATTCATTCATTCATTTATCCAAAATATATTGAGTGCCTCCAACACACCAGGCACACTGTACTAAATTTGGGGGATCAAACAGTAAACAGAGCAATGTCCTTGGAGGAGAAAGGTGATGAATGAATGAATATACATATATTTATATTTATATATAAATTAGAGATAAGATGGATTAGGAGACAGGAAGGGTTGAGGTAAGAGTAGGAAGTTTTATATTATTTGGATGATCAAAGAAACTTCTGTGATAAGGTGACATTGGAGCAGAAACCTGAAGGGAGTGAGGGAATGAACCCTGTGGAAATTTGGGGGAAGAGCATTCTCGGCAGAAGGAACAGGATATCAGTGCAGCTTGAGCAGATGAGTCACAGAGGGGTGGAGTGGGGGCAGAATATGCAGGGCCTTGTAGGCCATTAAAATGCTTTGGCTAATTGTGAACATGTGGTTTCCCAAACCTGAGTAACTTTCTCACATCCCTCTGTTGTTCCCTACTATCCCTTGGCCACATCCTCTGGATAACTTGTACCAATTCCTGAAGGCTTAGTTTTTGCATTATACTTTCTTGAGAGTCTTTACTAATATAAAAGTTGGATTAAAAATTCCTCCCCCATGGTGCTCTGCACCCCCCACACTGTTACAAGGTACAGAGTTGACTTGCTATGCTTGAGACTTCTCCAAGGGCAGATGTTATATATCCCCAGTGCCCCTCATCAAACCTAATACTTAGTAGATGCTCAAGAAAATGTTTGTTGAACCAAATAAATGTACAATTCATAAAAAAATGCTTTTGGCTACTATTCTGAGTGGGATAGGGAGCCATTTGGAGGGTTTGGAGCACAGGAGAGAGACATGACCAGACTTGCCTTTTCAAAATAGCACTGGCTTCTGTGTGTGGACTAAGGCAGGGAGCAGGAGAAGGTAAAGCAAGGAGGGAAGTTGGAGGCTATTTCAGTAAATCAGGCAATGGTTTTTGGTGGTTTGGACACTGGGAAGTGGAGGAGACAAGATGTATTCTGGAATTATTTTGAAGGTAGAGCTGCAGGGATATGTTGATGGGTTAGATATAGGGTGTGTGGATGATAGGAGTTAAGAATGACTCTGAAGGTTTTAGTTAAGCTGAGAGTCAGCTGGAGGAACAGATTAAGAGGGGGAATTGGGAGTTTTGTATTATTTTTGTGAACTCTGAAATGCTTATGAAATATCATATAGAGATGTTGGGTAGGTGATTGGATATAACTGAAGGTCAGGAGTGAGGTACAGGCTGGAGATAACAAATTTAGGAGGCATCAGTATATCAAAGTCATTTAAAGTCAGGAGACAGAGGAGATCACCTAGGGAGTGAAAGTAGGTGGGGGGAGGTTAGAAGCCTAAGCCCTGAAGCATTTCCAAGGTACAAAGATCAGGGGAAAGAGAAGGAACTGGCAAAAGATTGAGTAGGAGCAGCCAGTGAGGCAGGAACAGAACCAAGAAAGGATTTCTGGAAGTCAAGAGAAAAGGCATTTCAAGAAGGGAGTCAAATGGTGCTGAGAGGGAGGAATTCCCTGGTGGCGCAGTGGTTAAGAACCTGCCTGCCAATGCAGGGGACATGGGTTCGAGCCCTGGTCCAGGAAGATTCCACATTGCCGCGGAGCAACTAAGCCCGTGTGCCATAACTATGGAGCCTGTGCTCTAGAGCCCGCGAGCCACGACTACTGAAGCCCGCGTGCCTAGAGCCCATGCTCCTCAACAAGAGAAGCCACCGCAATGAGAAGCCTGCGCACCACAACGAAGAGCAGCCTCCACTCGCTGCAACAAAGACCCAACGCAGCCAAAAATAAATAAATAAATAAATAAATAAATTTAAAAAGTTGCTGAGAGGGAAGATGAGGAGTATTCATGATATGCAGGCACTGGGTGTACAAAGATGAACCAGAATGCCAGGCACATAGTAGGTGTCCATGTACTTTTAATTGTAACAAAGTATACATAACATAAAATTTACCACCTTAACCATTTTTGAATGTACAGTTCAGGAATGTTAAGAATATTCACATTGTTGTGAAACAGATCTCCAGAACTTTTTCATCTTGCAAAACTGAAACTCTGCTCGGCACAGAGACTGTTTAGTCCTGGGTCTTGCAAGTTTATTGTTCTCTCCGTCTGGACTCGAGGCTTCTGTCACAACCATGCTCCGCCTAATCATCGGTCAGGCCAAGAAGCATCTTAGCTTGATCCCCCTCTTCATATTTATTGAAGCGGGAGGTACTGGAGCAACACTGTATGTCTTGCGCCAGGCATTGTTCAATCCAGATGTCAGTTGGGACAGAAAGAGTAACCCAGAACCCTGGAAAAAACTGGGTCCCAATGATCAGTACAAGTTCTACTCAGTGAATGTAGATTACAGCAAATTGAAGAAAGAAGGTCCAGACTTCTAAATGAAATGTTTCATTATAAAGCTGCTTAGAATGAAGGTCTTCCAGAAGCCATCTGCACAATTTTCCACTTAACCAGGAAACATTTCCCCTCTAAATGCACGAAATCAGGGACTTCCCTAGTGGTCCAGAGGTTAAGACTTGGCACTTCCACTGCAGGGGGCACCGGTTCGATCCCTGGTTGGGGAACTAAGATCCCACGTGCTGCGTGGTACGGCCAAAAAGTAAAAAATAAATAAATAAACGCACGAAATCATGTTGGTGTATTGTGTTGGGGTTTACACTGCTTAATAAATAGTCTGAAACTTGAAAAAAAAACCCTGAAACTCTAGACCCATTAAACATCTCCCCATTTCCCCCTCCCCCAGCCCCTGGCAACCACCTTTCTACTTTATGTTTCTATGAATTTGACTCCTTTATTGGCTATATTGGGTCTTAGTTGAGGCACGCGGGATCTTTCGTTGCAGCGCACGGGCTTCTCTCTAGTTATGGCACATGGGCTTCAGAGCATGTGGGCTCTGTAGTTGCAGCACACGGGCTCTCTAGTTGTGGTGCACAGGCTTAGTTGCCCCGTGGCATGTGGGATCTTAGTTCCCTGACCAGGGATTGAACCGGTGTCCCCTGCATTGCAAGACCAATTCTTAACCACTGGACCACCAGCGAAGTCCCAATTTGACTCCTTTAGATATATCATATAAGTGGAATCATACAGTATTTGTTTTCTTATGACTGGCTTATTTCACTTAGCATAACATCCTCAAGGTTCATCCGTGTTGAAGCATGTGTCAGAATTTCCTTCCCTTTAAAGGCTGAATAATATTCTATTGTATGAATATACCACGTTTTGCTTATCAATTCATTTATCGATGGACACTTGGATTGCTTCCACCTTTTGGCTATTGGGAATAATGCTGCTATGAACATGGGTGTGCAAAGTCTCTTTGATACTGTGCTTTCAATTAATTTGGATATTTGTCCAGAAGTGGAATTGCTGGATCATATGGTAATCGTTTTTTTAATTTTGGGGGGAACTGTTTTCCGTAGCAGCTGCACCATTTTATATTCCTACCAGTAGTGTGCAAAGGTTCTAATTTTCTCCACATCCCAACCAACACTTCTTTTCTTTCCTTTTTTTTTTATAGTAACCATTCTAATGGGTGTGAGGCCCAGAAAATTGTCATTCTTGACCTGTATAGCAGTTCCCTGGAAACCTTCACTTATAGGGCTTGTCTTTATTTGACCTGATTCAGAGCTCTCTCAGGTCAAATAGCCTTTTAAAAAATAACTGGTGAAAACTGTTTAACATCACAGTTGCCCGAGGTTGTGATAACAGCTGGAGAAAACAAGTTGACCAAAAATCATGAAAAACTGGGAATAAGATATCCAGAGGGACCTTGAAAAGCTCTGACGTACTTCTGGGAGTCTGGAAGGCCATATGCATGTGCAAGTGCAGGGCTACAAGCATGCCAAGGAAAGAACTGAGAAGGCCCTAAGCTTTCAACTCTGGGTGATTTTTTTTTTTTAATCGGCGTATAGTTGATTTACAGTGTTGTGTTAGTTTCAGGTGTACAGCAGAGTGAATCAGTTATACATATACATATATCCACTCTTTTTAAGATTCTTTTCCCATATAGGCCATTACAGAGTACTGAGTAGAGTTCCCTGTGCTATACAGTAGGTCTTTTTTAAAATTTATTTTTGGCTGCGTTGGGTCTTCATTGCTGCCCGTGGGCTTTCTCTAGTTGCGGGGAGCAGGGGCTACTCTTTGTTGCAGTGCACAGGCTTCTCATTGCGATGGCTTCTCTTGTTGCAGAGCACAGGCTCTAGGCACGTGGGCTTCAGTATTTGTGGCTCGTGGGCTCAGTAATTGTGGCGTGCGGGCTCTAGAGCACAGGCTCAGTAGTTGTTGTGCACCGGCTTAGTTGCTCCGTGTCATGTGGGATCTTCCCGGACCAGGGCTCAAAAACGTGTCCCCTGCATTGGCAGGCAGATTCTCAACCACTGCGCCACCAGGGAAGCCCTACAGTAGGTCCTTATTTGTTATGTATTTTATATATAGTAGTGTGTATATGTTAATCCCAATGTCTTAATTTATCATTTTCCCCCACGTTTTCCCTTTGGTCACCATAAGTTTGATTTCAAGATCTGTGAGTCTGTTTCTGTTTTGTAAATAAGTTCATTTGTATAATTTTAAATTAGATTCCACATATGAGCAATATTGTATATTTGTCTTTCTCTGTCTGACTTACTTCGCTTAGTATGATAATCTCTAGGTCCATCCATGTTGCTGCAGATGGCATTATTTCCACCTCTGGGTGATCTTGAAGCTCTGTGGAGAACTCTGCTAAGGCAGAGTTGTAAACTACCTTGCTGGAGTGTTCAAGCATGCTCCAACACACACAGAGAAACCCTAGGCAAAGGTTGAAGACTTATTGGTTCAAAGGATTTGAAGAAATCTCTCTCTAACCATTAGCTGACCACTAAGTTAATGAAGCAGAGACTTTGGTGACCACACATATCAAAGAATACAGACTATAAAACTAGTTCAGAAAAGTCACTAAACAGACAGCAGCAACAATAAAGCCTGGGGTGGAGAGAATCTGAATTCCAGAGCTGCTGCATTATTTAAAATATCCAGATTTTAAAATTGCAATGAAAATAGAAAGTATGAACCATACACAGGGCAAAAAAAGCACTAAATAGAAACTATCCCTAAGGAAGCCCAAACATTGGATGTACTAGACAAAGATTTTAGGGTTTTTTTGAAGTATAGTTGATTTACAATGTTGTGTTAGTTTCTGGTGTACAGTATAAGTGATTAAGAATATACATATTCTCTCTCTCTTTTTTTTTTCTGGCCATGCCTCGTGGCATGCAGGATCTTAGCTCCCTGACCAGGTGTCAAACCCGTACCCCCTGCAGTGGAAGCACAGAGTCCCAACCACTGGACCACCAGGGAATTCCTGAATATATATATATATATCTGCTAATCCCAAACTCCTAATTTATCCCTCCCCCATCCCCTTTCCTCTGTGTTAACCATAAATTTGTTTTCTATGTCTGTGAGTCTGTTACTGTTTTGTAAATAAGTTCATTTATATCATATTTTAGATTTCACATATAAGTGATATCACATGGCATTTGCCTTTCTCTGTCTGACTTCCTTCACTTAGTATGATAAGCTCTAGGTCCATCCATGTTGCTGTAAATGGCTTTATTTCACTCCTTTTTATGGCTGAGTAATATTCCATTGTATATATATACCACATTTTCTTTATCCATTCATCTGTCAATGGACATTTAACTTGTTTCCATGTCTTGGCTATTGTAAATAGTGCTGCATGAACATTGGGGTGCATGTATCTTTTTTTTCTTTTTTGGCTGCATTGGGTCTTCATTGCTGCACGTGGGCTTTCTCTAGCTGCAGCGAGCGAGGGCTATTCTGAGTTGTGGTGCACGGGCTTCTCATTGAAGTGGCTTCTCTTGTTGCGGAGCACGGGCTCTAGGTGTGTGGGCTTCAGTAGTTGTGGCGTGTGGGCTCAGTAGTTGCGGCATGCGGGCTCTAGGGCACATGGGCTTCAGTAGTTGTGGCATGTGGGCTCAGTAGTTGTGGCTCACAGGCTCTAGAGTGCAGGCTGAGTAGTTGTGGTGCATGGGCTTAGTTGCTCCATGGCATGTGGGATCTTCCTGGACCGGGGATCAAACCCATGTCCCCTGCATTAGCAGGCAGATTCTTAACCACTGCACCACCAGGGAAGTCCTGTATCTTTTTGAATTAGAGTTTTCTCCAGATATATGCCCAGGAGTGGTATTGTTGAATCATATGGTAACTCTATTTTTAATTTTTAAAGGAACCTCCATACTGTTTTCCATACTGGCTGCACCAATTTACATTCCCACCAACAGTGTTGGAGGGTTCCCTTTTCTCCACACCCTCTCCAGTATATATTATTTGTAGACTTTTTAATGATGGCCATTTTGACTGGTGTGAGGTGATACCTCATTGTAGTTTTGATTTGCATTTCTCTAATAATTAGCAACATTGAGCATCTTTTCATATGCCTATTGGCCATCTGTATGTCTTCTTTGGAGAAATGTCTATTTAGGTCTTCTGCTCATTTTTTGATCAGTTGTTTTTTTTTGTTTTTGTTATTGAGTTGTATGAGCTGTTTGTATATTTTGGAAATTAAGCCTTTGTTGGTTGCATTGAAACCATGCAACTCAGATTGCTACTTGAACCCAGATGGTTGTTTCTGGTTGCAAAAAAATAAAGTGATGGTTACAGAAAGTAATGAAAAGTTTGTGGAAAGTGGACTGTGAGAAAAGTGTTTTGTGCACAGTCAGGATTGACTAAGTTTAGAATAAATTTAATTGAGTAAATGAATTGTAAAAGTAAGCTGGTGCAAGACTTGAATGTGGCTTTTCTCTCTTTTAAGAGGACAGGTTTTCTTTTTCTTTTTTTTTTTTAAATAAATTTGCTTATTTATTTATTTATTTTTGGCTGTGTTGGGTCTTCATTGCTGTGTGTGAGCTTTCTTTAGTTGTGGTGAGCAAGGGCTGCTCTTGGATGCGGTGCACGGGCTTCTCATTGTGGTGGCTTCTCTTTGTTGTGGAGCACGGGCTCTAGGGACGCAGGCTTCAGTAGTTGTGGCACACGGGCTCAGTAGTTGTGGCTTGTGGGCTCTAGAGCACAGGCTCAGTAGTTGGGGCGCACGGACTTAGTTGCTCCACGGCATGTGGGATCTTCCTGGACCAGGGATCGAACCCGTGTCCCCTGCATTGGCAGGCAGATACCACTGCACCACCAGCGAAGTCCCAAGAGGACAGGTTTTCTTAAAATGTTGAACTGCCTTTGATAACAGATATTAAGTTTCTTTACCTTTTAAATGATCTGTGTTGTATTTGTCTTTGAAATCTTTTATTGTCACTTTGATTACAGAATAAGTATTATCTCACAGTGACCTATGATCTTATTTTACCAAGTGTTTTAAAACTTTTTGACAAACTTCCCAAATATCAAATTTTCATTAAAGTTCTTTTGATTTCCAGCTAATTTTGGGATTCTGTAGAGGGCCCCTGAAGTATCTCAAAGAGAAAGTATTTAA